GAGAACTTGTTTCTCTCTCCCCCAGCAACTGTTCACTGTTGTAGATCCCCAGGGAGGGAGGGTGGCTCATGAACCCTTTCCTCCTAGCAGTTGTTAATTCCTATAAATCCAGGGAGGGGTTGGGCTTGCTGACATGTGCTTTTAATCCCAGCACTCAAGGGTCAGAGGCAAATGGATCTCTGTGAGTTTGAGGCCAGCCTGGTCTATATAGCAAATTCTAAGACAACCAGGGCTATATAGGTGACCCTGTCTCAAAAAAAAAAGAAAAGCTCTCATGTACACCAGGTTGGCCTGGAAAAAATCTATGTAGTCAAGGCTGACCTTGACTCCTGATCCTCCTGCCTCTGCCTCCCAAGTGCTAGAGAGCCCAGCATATGCCACCATGCCTGGTGTTACGCAGTCCTGGGGACAGAACCCATGGCTTTGTGCATATAGGCAAACACTGAGCTATATCCCCAGCCCTAAGTGTGTAAGAGTGTGTGTGTGTGTGTGTGTGTATGTTACTAGGGATCTAACTAGACCTTGGTTGTGTTGTGTAAGTATGTTACTACTGGGTTATATCCCTTACAAATCTAAATTTTTTGTTGCTTCCAGGATTTTTCCTTAGATTTCTATAAGATCATTGAGCCCAGTTAAAAGTGATTATAAAGATGTATCAGCCAGGCATGGTGGCGCCTGCCTTTAATCTCAGCACTTGGGAGGCAGAGGCAGGTGGATCTCTGTGAGTTTGAGGCCAGCCTGGTCTACAGAGTGAGATCCAGGACAGCTAGGACTACACAGAGAAACCCTGTCTAGGAAAAAAAAAAAAAAAAAAAAGACGTTGTTTTTTTTTCTTTTTTTTTTTTTTTTTTTTTTTTGATTTTTTGAGACAGGGTTTCTCTGTGTAGCTTTGCGCCTTTCCTGGGACTCACTTGGTAGCCCAGGCTGGCCTCGAACTCACAGAGATCCGCCTGGCTCTGCCTCCCGAGTGCTGGGATTAAAGGCGTGCGCCACCACCGCCCGGCTAAAAAAAGACGTTGTATCATGTCATCTCCTTTAAAGATTGCGCACGCCTATAATCCCAGCAATTGGGAGGCAGAGGCAGGTGGATCCAGAGCTGTTACGAAGAGAAACCCTGTCTTGAGGAGGAAAAAAAAAATTACCAGCACACACACACACACACACACACACACACACACACACACGATCAAGCGATCGAGCATGCCTAGTAACCGTCTTTAGACACTCCCTCCTTGTCACGCGCTGCTTACAACATGTGGCTTGTGATTCCAGGCTCAAGCACGGACATCAGTGAGGACTGGGAGAAGGATTTTGACTTGGACATGACAGAAGAAGAAGTGCAGATCGCACTCTCCAAAGTGGATGCCTCTGGTGAGGTAAGTAGGTCTGGTCCCCCAGGGCAGGCTAGTCCAATGATGTCAGGGTAGAAGTCCTTTCCCAATAAACCTCGCTGCCCCTGATGTGACTCCCTACATCCCGCTAAGCTAATGCCTGCAGGAAGGGATGCTGCTGCTCAGTCCTAGGCTGGATGCATGAGTGAGTTCTTGGGGTTGGGGGTGGGTGTTTTTTTTCAAGACAGGGTTTCTCTGTGTAGCTTTAGAGCCTGTCCTGGAACTCACTCTGTAGACCAGGCTGGCCTTGAACTCACAGAGATCTGCCTGCCTCTGCCTCCCGGGTGCTGGGATTAAAAGCGTATGCCACCACCACCTGGCATGAGTGAGTTCTTAACCTTGGGTCTGCATCACAGTAACCAAAGGAACAAGAACGAAACAGATGCTGAGCAGGGCATGGTGACCCTCTCCCAGGAGAAACCCAGTGCCCAGGAAGACATAGAGATTACTGCTCAAGTACATAGCAAATTCAGGCTGACCTGGGCCTGGAGTAGAGAGAGAGAGATGCTGAAGCCTGCCCTCGGCCTTATGATTTATGGGATCTTAGCAGGTTCCTAGCCTTGGAGACAGAAGGTTTTTGATTGAGACCAAGTCATTTGCACTCTGTCCTCCTCTAAAATATAAAAGTAGCTAGCTCAGAAGCTTTAGCAGGGTAAACCATGTAAACGCTGTTAAGGGTGGTGCCTGTCATATGATGGCATCCAGTGGACATTAATGACAAACACCACCAACCCCATTCCTGCTAGTAAGTTTACATGAGCCTTTTATAGTTTTCATTCTTTGCTGCCTCCCCAAATCAAGAGCTGGTCCAATTTCGGCTGGAAATGAAGGCGCACATCACCTTTAATCCCAGCACTTAGGAGACAGAGGCAGACAGATCTCTTTGAGTTTGAGGTCAAGGACAGCCTGGTCTACATACTAAGTTCTAGAACAACTAGGGCTACACAAGAGATTCTGTCTCAAAACAGAAGAAAAAGCCGGGTGGTGGTGGCGCACGCCTTTAATCCCAGCACTCAGGAGGCAGAAACAGGCAGATCTCTGTGAGTTCGAAGCCAGCCTGGTCTACAGAGCGAGTTCCAGGACAGGCTCCAAAGCTGCACAGAGAAACCCTATCTCAAAAACAAAAGAAAAAAGAAGTGTAGAGAATTAGAGAGACACAGGGTCTGAGTCCCAGTCTCTGTGTGTGTTTTCTTCTCTCTCCTCTCTCTCTCTCCCCTCTTCTTCCTTTCTTTCCTTTCCCCCCCCATGGTGGGGGTGGGGGTTATCACTGACTCACTATATCCCAGGTTGGCCATGAATTTCCATCAATCCTCTTGCCTTAGCCTTCTGAGTTCTGGGATTATGGGCATGAACCACCAGGCTCAATGACAAGGACCTGGTTCTTCCTATTTAAAAGCTAGAGAATTAATGACCTATTCAAGAGTGTTTTGTACCTGTGACCTCACTATTACAGAAGACTCCATGTCCTGTTATGCCTTAAGGATTTGCTAGCTTATGTCTTTTAGCTCTTTTTAAAACCTGATATGCGGGAGCAGGAGAGATGGCTCAGAGGTTAAGAGCAGCAGCTGCTCTTCCAGAGGTCCTGAGTGCAATTCCCAGCACCCACATGGTGGCTCACAACCACCTGTAATGAGATCTGGTGCCCTCTTCTCTCTGATACTCTCTTTTGTCATGCAGGCATATATGCAAATAGAACACTCATATACATAAAATGCATGAATAAATAAAAAATTTTAAAAATAAATAAAAGCTGATATACTTGGTTGGGAATGTGGCTCTGTGCTGTGACTCGCCAAAGCATTCAGGAGGTCCTGAGTTTGATCTCCAGCTCTGAAAGAGCTTAAGCAAACATACAACAAAACCTAATAGGCAGTATACCTGAGCAGGCCGCCTCAATCCCACTGCGGCAGGAGAGCTGAGAGCAGGCCAAGAGTGACAAGAGGAAAAGTTGATCTGGAGGTTAGGGTGCAGAGCCCCTGGAGAAGACCTTGTGCAAAGAGAACACACATCCAACAGGAGTGGGAGGAAAGAGTCTATTTATTTGAGCTGTGACAGATGGATCCAAGTGGAGACTCCCTAAAGCTTGCCTGACTCTTTAAAGTTGACAAGAGAGAGAAAAGTTTTAGCTGTATTAGCACTTGCAGCCCTGCTACCCTGTTTGTAGTCACAGTGACGCTCTCAGTGCTTGGCTTTTAAGACGCATGGCCTTTGTCTGCTCAGCAGAAGCAGGTGCTCCTCCGGCAGGCCACCCCAGGCGGAGCTGGGTTTAGCTGGTGGAAGTGTAATCTGAAGCAGTGAGAGCAGTAAGGCCTCCTTCAGGCATCTGTGTTCCCAGTGGAATCCCTAAGTTCCGTGTGGGGATGGGCCCTTTCCAGGGGTCGCCTTGCTCAGCACGGGAGGTGGGCTCTGGGCTTGACTCAGAGGATAAGTGCGTTTGTGCTCTGACTATCTCCTCATCTTTGCAGCTGGAAGATGCAGAGTGGGAAGACTGGGAATGAGGGGAGCCAGAGCAAGCAGCTCCCCCACCCACGGCACATCCCACCTCCTCCCTCGATCGCTAATCTCAGCCAGCCTTGGAAGACACTGAGAATGCCCCCCCCCAAAGGGCCTCTGCCATCTAGAAGTTGGTGCAGATTCTGGTGGCTCCCTGCTGGCCCTCTGCTCTCACACCTTGGAAGAGCCTTTCTAAATACAAATCCAGAGGTCTGACATGTGCCAGCCTTAGAGGACCCATCACATCACCTGCATTTCTCTGCTCTTCTAGGACTCCTGCTGGGAAACCTCCTGGGGTAGCTGTCTCCTGCACAGACAGGAGCTGAAGCCCAGGTCTCTGAGGAGGCCAAGATAATGCACTCTACCCTGTAAGCTAGTCAGCTAACAAGGAAGGCTCTGCCGCCTGCCCTTGGCTGCACAGGGACGGTGAACAGCATTTTGGTTCCTGTCCAGTAAGAGGCAATCATCTCTGGGGAATTTGCCTCTCTCTGGAATCTGCCTCCCAAGTTTTCCACTTCTGGAAAGGTCCTATGGGTTCAGAAGCTAAGACCAAACCTTGCCTGTCCTGTAGCACACACCGGGGTTCCCTCCGTCTTCCCAGGGCGTTTTCATGTCGGATGCACCCAAGTCCTTAGCCCAGCTGTGCCACGGCAAGAGTCTGCTCTTGTATGTCTTTCCCTCCCCAAGAAGCGGGGAGCCCTTTCAGCCCCTCTGTGTGTCGCCTGGTTGGATCCCTCTCGGAGCAGCTGCCTACCTTGACTCCCATAGCTTAGGACACAAGCTAGCTGGGAGCTGTACGAAGTAGTGAGCAGAAGCAAGTACTCACAGTCCATCAGGCCAGCTCCTCTGTGGCCCTCTGCTCCTGAAGGGATGGGCGGGGGTGAGCACCCTGAGACTCAGCTGTCTCCTGCAGGGGTCCTCCTTCCTGAAGTCAGTCACTGGGGCTCAGTGGGGGCCGCACAGAGACCCGGTGCTTCACAGATGACACTCTGCTGATTGTGTGTGCTGGTGCAGCCACCAGCTACTTATTTAAAGGGATCTTGTCAAGGCGGTTTGAATGGTGGGCACTTCACTTCAAACCTTCAGTGAATGGGGTAGGATGGAGAGAATGCTAAATTCTTTTTTTTTTTTTTTTTTTTGATGGGATGGGATTTTTCTCTTTGTAATTAGTTTAATTAACCTTTTGGTTGTTTGTGCAATATTATATATTTTAAATTATAATGCATCTCCCCAGAGTATTTTGTAGCTGGGAAAAGAAAAAAAAAAGAAAAAAGAAACATTCTAACAGCTGTTAGTTTTGTAATTAAAAAGGAACAAAAACAAAGTTTGTCCTGAACCTTTTGCAGATTTGCCGTAACAGCATTAAAGTGATTGAACAGAAGCCAGAAGTGTCTGGGGATGGTTCTGTCCCCGTGGCAGCCATAATGGAGCCTTGGAAAGGCTCCTACAGCTGCAAGTGTGACTTCCTGTCTGGAGCATGGGCGGGGTATGTAGCTAGGGTCCTGAGGCCTCTGGTTTGAGAAAGGGATGAGCCCAGCCAGCCTCTCACCACGCCATGGAGGCAGGAGGCCATTTCTGCAGCCCAAATGCTTTTGCTTTTATTTGGAAAGCAGGTTGTAGCACCTGAGTGGTTCTGGTGGGTCATGTTCCTCCTCTCTTCTCCCTGCCCATGATGATTTGAGAACCATCAATAAAAGAAATCTAAGGCCCTTAGTTCTAGGAAGAAAGGAAAAGCTCTCCTAGTAAGGGGCCTGTGGGGCCACCTTGGGGATGTAGAAGTAAGCTATGGATAAAGGGAGCATAAAGTGTAAAATATATATCACCATTTTAGAAGCGGGTTTTTGGGTTTGCTTTCTCCCCCTACTTTATTGGGGAGGACTTGCCATTGCTTTTATCAAGTGCTTGCTAGCCATGGGTGCCAACTAACTTCTTCGATTGAAGGCCGGAGTATCATATCTGGTTCCAGGAGCCGCTTCAGCAGGTCCTGGCATTCGGTTGAGATGCCCAGATGAGTGGGGAAGGACACCCCCTTCTGTTGCTGCCACAGCATCTTGGGGATATCTGTGTCATCAAAAGGTAGACTTGCACAAAGCATTACGTACAGGACCACCCCCAGGCTCCAGACATCACCTTTCTTGCTATCGTGGGGTATGCCCTGCAGCACCTCGGGAGCGGCGTAGGCTGTGCTGCCACAGAAGGTCTGGCTCAGCTCCCTGCGTGACTTGGGTAGCACCTTGGCAAAGCCAAAGTCGGTCAGCTTTAGGTTGAAGCCCTGCAACAAGGCGTTCTCACACTTAAGGTCTCGGTGGGCCACGCCACAGCCATGGCAGTAGCGAATAGCCTCAACCATCTGGCGGAAGAGGGCCTTGGCCCGGCTCTCGGGAAGTGGCCCTCCGTTCAGCACACAGTCAAAGACATCCCCTCCCTCAGCCAGTTCCATCACCAGGTAGATTTTTCCATCTGCCGACTCCAGCATCTCATACACCCGGATGATGTTTTTGTGGTCCAGGGTACGGACAATCTGGAGCTCTCGAGGCAGGAATCTCTGGATAAACTCTGAGGGGGAAAGTCGGGAGGCAAAATGGGTTATCAGAGTCGAAGGGCCTAGCTCCTCCCTCCTGACTCTTGTTTTCTGGCTTCGGGACACCCACCATGTCTGTGTGTTCTTCCTTGGCTCCCTGAATAGTCTCAGATGTGCTAGCAGCAAGTATTCCCTTTTATTACTTCATGGTTAGCTCATCCTTGGAACCTCGTCCCTGCAGCCTGTGAGACCACAGGTAAGGGGGTGCTTGGGGACTTCAGACAATGCTGTTGAATCCCAGGATCCTTCCAGGAGCCCTGTCTGCCTGTCCCTTCCCCACCTCTCGGCTCCAGCTGTCATCTAGCTAACACCTCCGGGGACAGGAAAAACTTTGCCCTGTGCTTTGTGGATGTGGAAAGATGCAACGATCCTGGGTTCCCCACACCCCTCTATTACAGACCTGAAGGCAGTAATCTGGCTTGCTTTCTGTCATTCTAAAAGGGAAGGAGAACTGTTCTGAGAAAAGCACCTACCCGCGTTGGCTAGCCCACCCTCCAAAGGGCCCCAGCTCACCTTCTGGCCCTCCCTTCTTGTCTATAATTTTAATTGCCACTTTTCTTTGATGTTTTTTGGAAAATGCTTCTTTGACTTTTGAGTAGGTCCCTTCCCCAATGGTCTTGCCCAGCTGGTACCCATTGGAGAGTAGAAAGTCCTCCATGCTGTGTAGCGCCTCCTTCTTGTCACCCTCTCAGCTCATGCTGCCTCCGCGAGGCAGCACTACCCCACCATCGCCCTTGGCCTGCTTCTTTTCCCCCCAAGGACTTCATCCACAGCTGCCTCCAGGGCTAGAACATTCTCCGTCTGGACACAGCCACAGGTGGTGGGGAGGGAGAGGACCAGACATTTTTAAACTCCTGCCCAATTGTGATGTAAATGCTGTGTGACCCTCAGACAACATGGGCAGTGTCCCTGCTGGCCCTCACCACCACCAGCAAACCCAGCCTGAGTTAAGTCATTCATGAGTGAGGCACCGAGTGGGAACAGTGCCGGAGAAGCGGCCCGGCTGGCTGTGTAGGCCAGGGATGCAGGGCTTCTCCGTGTGGGCTCTGCTTCCAGACAGGTCACCCTCATCTCCGAAGGCTCCATCGAGCTGTTGAGGGATAGGGCGAACGGGTCACCAAGGTGCGGTCGCCAGAAGCCTCTGGCTTCAGGCCCCGGGCCCTCACTAAATGCCCGAATGGCCCGGACCGGCCTAGAATTTCATCGAGGAACAGGCTGTGTGAGGTCAGCACGCAGAGATCGGGGTCACAATGCAGCCCTTCCCTTCGACGCTGGGACCCCGGCACGCAGCAGACACCTGCCAGGCTCCGCCTGGACCGGAGCGTCCTCCCGCGGCCAGGGCTCGGGCAGTTGCTTCCAGCCTGGGACTGGCCTCGGCCTCCGGCAGGTAAGCCACGACACAAGAGGAGGCACGGGCAGGGAGCGCCCAGGGCCCCGGAGTCGCCTGACTGCCACTCCCCCGCGCAGAGTGCCCCGGGGCCTGGAGATGAGTGCCCAGGAGACCCCACAGGGTCGAAGATTCCCCATTGAGGCCGGAGACTCCCCTGGCCTTGCCTCCGCCCCCGAGTCCCAGGACAGCCCGGAGCCTGTAGCTACGGATCATAACCCGGTCAGGTGAGGCCAATGCCCTGCCCCCGGCCCCGCCCCATCGCCATCCCCAGGGCCCCACCCTAGAGGACCCCAGGCGCACCCCCAGGGCGTGCCCCAACACTATGCACCCCCTGTCGCCTGCCGCTTTCGCCAGGCCGCTCCGACGCTGCCCGGGCTGCCACTGTCTGACGCTGCTGCACGTGCCCATCGACGTCTACCTGGCCATGGGCGGGAGCCCCCGGGCCCGTGCCACCTGAGTGCGCCTGCGCACGGCAGCTCCGCAGGAGCCGGGCAGGACGAGGCCAGCCGCGGGCCACCACGCTGAGGTCGCACGCGCCGAGCACGAGACAATGATGCACATTTTAAAATAAAAGAATGATGCACATTTTAATAAAGCACAGCATAAACTGTTCTTTCCACTCCGGGCTGGCCGTGTATGTGTATCCGTCGGATCGGGCCCACTGGCTGTTCTGCCCTAGCCAGTGCCACCCGACTATCCCTTGGGCTGCCTCCTCCCTCAGACCCGCCCTCAAACCACCTCCAGTTCCCAGCCAGGCCTGCCTCTAAGGGAGTGCTTCTCAACCTGTGGGTCTCGACCCTTCAGGGGTCGAATGACCTTTTCACAGGGGGGTCGTTTAAGACCATAGGAAAACACAGAGATTTACATTACAGTTCATAGCAGTAGCAAAATTACAGTTATGAGGTAGCAACGAAAATAATAGTATGGTTGGGGTCACCACACCATGAGGAACTGTATTAAAGGGTCGAAGCATTAGGAAGGTTGAGAACTGGTCTAGGGGCTTGTCACCCCTTCCCTGTCCTGGGTTCACCAACGAAATCATCTCTCTGCGGGACACTGTCTGCTCACAGCAGCTTGGGACTGAAGCAAAGGACGGGACAGGAAGATGAGCAGACTATGCAGAAAAAATAATAATAATAAAAGACTGACTACAGCAAGTCTATGTAATTCTCCCAAGCTAGAATTAGATTCAGCTCCCTGCCTGCCGTTCCTGGGCCTGCTGTAGGGTCAAGGGATGACCCCATCTGTTTGGACCTTTGGTTCCAATTAAGACCAGCGCTGTTACTGAGGAGAAATTTTTTTGAAAAAGTCTTAATTTTTTTTTAGATTTTTATTTTACTTTATTAATGTTTTGCCTGTATACATGTGTGTGCACCACATGTATGCCTGTTGGATTCCTTGAAGGCTAAGGATGTTTTTGAGCCACTGTATGGGTGCTGGAAATTAAGCCCGGGTCCTTTGCAAGAGCAACAACTGCTCTTCACCACCAAGCCACCTCTCCATCCACCCGCACTGCGTAAGTCTGGTTTTCTTTCTTTCTTTCTTTTTTTTTTTTTTCTTTTCTAACATGGCCTTGAACTTACTTTGTTCATGAGGCTGTCTCTGAACTCCAGAGTGCTGGAGTCTCTACTCCCTGAGTGCTGGAGCTAAAGGTGTGCAACACCATTCCTGGCCCTCCAATCTCTTTCTTTTTTTTCTTTTTTTTCTTTTATGTGCATTGGTGTTCTGTCATGGGTGTCGGGTCCCCTGGAACTGGAATTACAGACAGTTGTGAGCTGCCATGTGGTTGCTGGGAATTGAACCCCGGTCCTCTGGAAGAGCAGTCAGTGCTCTTAACCACTGAGCCATCTCTCCAGCCCCACCCCACCCCAAATTTCTAAATTACCTGTTTTATAGATGAGGAATTAAAGGACTTGCCCAAGGTGTCCCAGATAATGGGTAATGCTGGAACATGCAAGTCTTCCATCTCTTCAAACTAAATGCCTTGAACACCCCCTCCCCACAACAGGAACCATGACAGGAAGTTTCCTAAAAAGGGAGCCCATTTAAGTGGAACACACTTCAATTTTGCTATTGTTATTCTGTGGAAATAATGGTGGTGGTGGTGGTGGTTATTTTGGGGTTTTGAGAGTGTTTTTGTTTTTGTTTTTTTCAACAGAATCTTACTTTGTAGGCCAGGCTGGCCTCTAACTTTGATCTCCCTGACTCAACCCTCAACCTCCCAAGTAAATCACACTCCATCTGGCCCTATAATTTGTTGGGGTATTTTTTTCTCTCTTTAAATATTAAACTATGGGGGCTGGAGAGATGGCTCAGAGGTTAAGAGCACTGCTTGCTGTGGGATGGTCTGTATGTCAAATTACTCTGATTGGTCAATAAATAAGACACTGATTGGCTAGTGGCTAGGCAGGAAGTATAGGCGGGGCTAAGAGAGAGGAGAAAAGAAAGAACAGGAAGGCAGAAAGAGACACTGCCAGCCACCGCCATGACAAGCAGCATGTGAAGATGCCGGTAAGCCATGAGCCACGTGGCAAGGTATAGATTTATAGAAATGGATTAATTTAAGATATAAGAACAGTTAGCAAGAAGCCTGTCACAGCCATACAGTTTGTAAGCAATATAAGTCTCTGTGTTTACTTGGTTGGGTCTGAGCGGCTGTGGGACTGGCGGGTGACAGAGATTTGTCCTGACTGTGGGCCAGGCAGGAAAACTCTAGCTACAACTGCTCTTCCAGAGGACCTGGGTTCAATTCCCAGCAACCACATGCTGGCTCACAACCATCTACAATGAGACCTGATACCCTCTTCTGACCTGCAGGCATACAAGCAGACAGAACACTGTATACGTAATAAATAAAATTTTAAAAATGAAAATATGTAACCCAAAGGTCTAGTTTGATCAGTAGCCCCTTGAGATCTAGAGTAAATTACTAAAATACTCTTCCCCTGACCCACATGAGCTGGAGGTCCAGCCCCCTTGATACTTTAGACCCCATGGTCATCTGAAAAAGGCAATTTAATTTTTGGTTGGTTGGTTTATACAAGTAATAAATAAATAAATAAATAAATAAATAAATAAATAAATAAATAAATAAATAAAACTAAGTAAGTGCTCTACCAGCCCCATCCTTTTTTCGAAAAAAATTTTTGTTTTGTTTTTCGAGACAGGGTTTCTCTGTGAAACAGTTCTCCTGGCTGTTCTGGAACTCGCTCTGTAGACCAGGTGACCTCGAACTCACAGAGATTTTTTTTTTTTTTGGTTTTTTTTTTTCGGTTTTTTCGAGACAGGGTTTCTCTGTAGTTTTGCGCCTTTCCTGGAACTTGCTTTGTAGACCAGGCTTGGCCTCGAACTCACAGAGACCCGCCTGCCTCTGCCTCCCGAGTGCTGGGATTAAAGGTGTGCGCCACCACCGCCCGGCTCAAACTCACAGAGATTTGCCTGTCTGCTGCCCCAGTGCTGGGATTAAAAGCATGTGCCACCACCACCTAACATAGAAAAAAATTTTTCAAGCAGGGTTTCACTGTGTAGCCCTGGCTGTTCTGAAACTTTCTCTGTAGACCAGACTGCCCTTGAACTCAGATCTGCCTGCCTCTGCCTCCGAGTGCTGTTAAATGGTTTGGTTTTTTGTTTGTTTTGTTTAAGACTGATTTATTTTTAGTTTATATATATATGATGTTTTGCAGGCATGAGTATCTGCTCACCATGGGCATGCACTGTCCACAGAGGCCAGAAGAGGGTGTTAGATCCCCTGGAACTGGAGTTACAGATAGTTGTGAGCTACTGTTTGGGTGCCTAGGATCAAACCCAGAAACCTCTGGGAGAATACCAGTGCTCTGAACTGCTGAGTCATCTTTCCAACCTCTTTTTATTTATTTATTTATTTATTTATTTATTTATTTATTTATTCACTTTTTTAAAAATTTTTTTAAATTAACTTTATTTTTATGTGCACTGGTGTTTTGCCATGGGTGTCGGATCCCCTGGAACTGGAATTACAGACAATTGTGAGCTGCCATGTGGGTGCTGGGAATTGAACCTGGATTCTCTGCAAGAACAGCCAGTGCTCTTAACCACTAAGCCATCTCTCCAGCGCCCCCCCCCCCCTTTTATTTTTTTAAGGCAGGTTTTCTATGCCGTACAGGCTAGCCTGGCACTCGACATCCTCCTACTACCTTCCCAGGGCTGGGATTACCCGGCACCACCACACCCAGTTAAGTATCCTTGTTGATTTCCACACAAGCGCTCTCTCCCAGGTGGTCCTTAAATGC